TTTAATTTTTAACAAAGTTTACGGGTATCCGATTTATTTCAAAATAATTTCACAAATTTGCACCACGAAACTTATACTTTATGGATAAAGGTGGATAAAGTTTTAGCGTTTCAAACGACACTAAAACAAAATTTCCCAAATTTGCACCACGAAACTTATATTTTTGGACAAAAATATTTATACTATGTCCTAAAATTCTTTACTTTCAATCTCTAAAGGGGCATTTTAGCTGCAACTGGATTATTATATTTTTTTAAAAACAAGACACCAGAATCTCTAGGGATCATTTTTAAAAGCAATATTTACCACTATAAGGCAATTCTTCTTTAAAGAGGTATGATACGCTGTGATGTGCACAATTATTTAATCTGCTGATTTTACATGTTTTTATTCAAACAGGATTCGCCGATTTAAATCAGCTTGACTTAAATCGAAAGTAAAATCTGGCTTTAAATAACTTGTTTTTTTTTTTTTAAATCACCAACTGAAATCAAAAAATACTTTTTTTCTCTAGTATGTAACTAGTTATCACTTTTGTGTAAAATTTAATACAACTCTAACTTATCTATTATATAAAACAATATATAAAATAAAACAACAATATTAAGAATTATATAAAATAAAATTTGTGTCTTTATGTTTACTAAGCTTTTTTGGGGAAAGGGAATTGAAGTGTAGCTATTCTCAATCTTTCTATTCTATTTCAGTAGTACCAGAATTGTTCATCACGACGGGAAAAAAAAGACTTCTGAATTGAAAAATAATTAATTTTGCCAGATAGTTTCATAACCTGATATTTAAACAGTTTTAATTTATGCGAAATTGAAAGGTTTTAGGTAATTTTCAAAATTTTACTGCAGTATTTCAATTATTTTTAACATTTTTACAAGAAATTTAAATTAAGTACATTTCATCTTTTTTTTCTACTTCATACGCAATAACTAAGTGATGGCCCATCCCTTGAGTAATTGATTCGTCCACATTTCTGAGATAAAAAATTAAATAAATATGAAAAGAAGAAGTCATTTTACTAAGCTATGAAGAATTCAAGTAATTTTACAGCACTAACTATAACATTTGAGCAAGGGATGATCCTTTTTGCGTCTTTTTGAGGAACGTAAACATAGCCGTGAAATGGAAGACATATTTGAAACATTAATTTTTTATGAAGCAACAGAAGAAATAGCAGTAAAGCAGTTGCATACTTCTGCTTCTGTCAGAGATTTATAATAAGATTAGAAATGAATTGGGAAATGAAAAAGTCAGAAAATTAATATATTTTTTTAAATGAAGTCCATGACTTAATTACTTTTAGAAAATGTTAAAGGTAGTATTATCTGAAGTATTTGATGGCTTTTCTTTGAAGTGTTCATAACTTCTAATCAATATTACAAAAGCATAAGTAAATATCTTTTATACTGTTTTCTCAACAAGTTCTCCTCATGTTAAAAATATCCTTTCTAGTTTAATTTTATCCAGAATCTTAAAATTAGTGATAAATTGTAAACTAAGAAATGTGTATTTATACTCGTAAATTGAAGAATTCATTTTACCAGACAGATAATTTCATATTGCGATATTTAAACAGTTTTATTATAAGTAAATTTGAAAGAAAAACTATTTTTCAATTCAACAAAGGCTATGTAGACTAAAGCAAAAAACAACGTGAATAATTTTATGTACTTTTAAAATTTTATTCTTTAATAATCATTACTTTACATCACAATTGCATGGAATTTATGTTTGTAAAAATTAAATATTCTAAAAGATAGTTAACAGTCATATAATAGAAATAAGAAAATACAATTTAAATCCCGATTTAAAACAAAACTTAATATTTTTATAAATTTATTAAGTTTTTGTTTTCGAAGTTACTTGTAAAACTGTTCACCTTGCCGGTACTTTTGACTTTGTTTTATGATTTTAATGGCAACAGAGAACTATGGGGTAGTTCCGATACAAATGTTCGAAGGCATCAAAGTGAAGACACTTACTTTCATGAACCAGTACGGACTTTTCATTGTATTGATCAGGCTTTATGTTTACCTGCGCTTTTACTCTTTATACAATTTTCAGTTGATAATGATCTTCATAATGGCCCCCTATCATCGTTTCATATTCATATACTGCATCTATCACTACAATCTTGATACTACATCTATCACAACAATCTTGATACTGCATCTATCACTTCATCTGATTGGAGCTTTTTTCGCCCAATATTTTTCTTTAAGATTATCCGTTCTAAGCTCAATATTTTATTTTCACGTAACTTGGTTATTGCTCAGCTTTCAACCCCTAAACCAGTTGGTTTTAGAGGCAATGAGAGCCTTTATTTGACATGGTGAGCTTGTTGTCAAATCAAATTTTCTTGATATATCGACTCTTTCTTTTAATCATTATAATAAAGTCTTCCCGACTTAATTTTCATTTTCAACGTCACGATTTTAGTCTTTAAAAAATAAATAAAAAGAATTAATAAATTGAAAACACTATCTTTTTTAACAAGTTTAATAATATAATTTAGTCTACATTTTTCATAATTTTATTTAATAAAATTTTAGTTCATTAATTATCTCAGCTAAAGATTCAGATCTAACATTTAAAAGTTTAATTTACAAATATGCTTTCATAAATTCACATATTTCAATTTTAAAAAAAATAGCTTTCTTCAATTTTAATTCAATTATATCAAATTTTTACCACATCCTATGTGTTCGTCTATGCTATTTAAATTTATCATGGTTTCATTTTGGATACAAATTTCAATTCCCTTGGTAATGGGTTTTATTTAGCTTTTTAAAAACATAATAAACTAAACTTACGTTTAAAAGTACTCTAAGCATTACTTTGTTACATTTAAAATAATATATCCTTTTTACCTTACAAACATAGCTACAGTTACATAAATACTTAAAAAGTGTGAAAAGAACTATGTTATTCTTCATTAATAAAGTTTTATGTCTTCTTAAAAATGGCTACAAAACTCACCTTATTATTTTTTACATAATTAGCGCCGAATAGGATTATTAGTCATAACTTATACGACAACATTTCTCTTTATTATAACTAAAACTTATTAAATTATTTGCTAGACAATATTTTTCATATATCTTGTTAATTTAATGGTAAATTTTAAGTAATGTCTAGGAACTAATTTGAAAGATATTTATTTATCACTCCCAGACGACATGATTGCTTGAGTTTTCTAAATAAGCATTCCCCATCTATTAAGAAGTTTTTCGAAATTCTCATATTTTAATTTATATGACTTTAAATAAATTACTTTTTAGAAATATGGAAAACAATAACTATTTATATTAATTTCATAAAATTTATTGACTAATTAATTTGTTTCCTGAAAACATAGTTTATTATGCTGGGCTAGTTCATTAATAAATATATTCTGTAACATACAATCTGTAATAATATAATCTGCAAAATAATAGAAATCAAACAATATTAACACTTGAAAGGCTGAAACTTAGTATGTATCTATATTGCCCCAAAGCAGTCAAAATGACTGCATTGTGAAAGAATAATGTGTAAAGAAATTTGTTTAAAATTAATTTTTAATAGTTTTTATACTATTTACAGTCATACAACAAGTTATTAATAAGTATTAACAATAAAAAAAAATTTACTTCACTTGGAGAAACAATAATTTATTCATTATTTGTACATTTTAAGCAAATGAAAGTGGAAATCTTTTTGTGTGTACATCTTCCGCAAACATACTTTTGACATTTTTCACAAATATAATTTGTTTTGTTATTGTGGCAAAATCGTATTCGACAAATTTTTCGTTTGTTAGAATATGTCGTATTTGATGATGTTGTAGTTGATCTTTGTGGGTCTTCATGTTCTGATGAATTTATCTTGCAGCTATGTAATCGGTGGAACGCTGTTCTGCTAATTGAAACAAGAAGTGTTTTCGTTGTATTTGTATTCCTGTCGTTTCTTTGTAAAGTATCCAAGCATATGTAGCAGCCAAATCTAAAATATTGAAAAATATTTGGAGGGGCCATCTACGAGAACTAGATTTTACTGTATATTTTCTGGCCATTTGATCCGCCATATTAACTCCAAATTTTGTTTTGTTATAAAATTGAACAGAGTCCGGTAATTTTTTTTAATTACTTTTGTCAATTTTCACAAATTTATGTCTGGAACTTAGAACAGCTACTCTTTTATTCGGTTTGCTTTTATATATTGTAAGGACACAATTTTGTGATTTATATAGCAGAGTAGAAAAACGAGGCATGTTATCCTTCGTTTGTTTGGCTGCTTTGGGTAGTTATCTTTTATTTCCTCTAATAGTTCCAACTAGTGTTGTTGTTTTTTATTTTTTTTTGACCAATAATTTCGTCGCGAGTGACATGCTAGTGAAAAAGTTATCGGTCGTAATATTCCTTCCACAGCTTGTATATGGATCGACAAGTCTCAGAACAACGTGTTCACTGAGAAGCATTGACGATGGTCGTTGTTCATCTTCCCCCAAGTAAGGAAAACCATTCAAAACGCACTTGCTACTAACATCTGATGCAAGCCAGAATTTGATGCCAAATTTGCTGGGTTCATTAGGCATATACTGTATAAACTTACACCTGGCTTTTGTCGGAAATAATTTCTCGTCAACTGTTATATTTTGCCCTGGTTGATAGCAAGCTTGACTATTTTCAATGAACTTGTCCAATATTTCCGAAACAAAGGCAAATTTATTTGTTTGGAGGAGTCTACTTCTTTCGGTTCTTTTGTCAAAATGAATAAATCGTAGAATTTGCTTGAACTTATCTCTGGGTAGTTCTAAAAAATTCGAAACCGCACTTTGACTATAAATAACTCAGTTTTAAATTTTTTGCCTTAGGCTTCATGAGCATATAAAATCACAATAAATGCACGAAGTTCCGGTAATGTTGTTGTCCAATCGTACCCCAACATTCGGCGGCCTTCTTCCTCTGTGCAGTTTTTTATATATTCGATAATATAGTTATCTATTATCAACGAGATGCATTAACAAGATTATCTGCCATAATGTTCTTTTTTGCGTAGCCTGTTGGCCCTTTCACACCCTTGAAAACACAAGTAGATGGTAACCTTCCAGGAATACGACCTACGTCAAATTTTAACCACACAGCACCATCGGCAGCTGTTTCGGTCTCCTGAAAGGTGTTTTCAGTTTCTTCATCAGAGTCTGAACTACTTAGCACCTTACACCTTTTCCTGAGCACTTTGATGGCACTTTCATTTACATCGTTGGTAATGGCCTCTTCAGCATCAGATGTCTCACTTTGAATACAATCCGATTCATCTTCAGATGATAGTTCCCTATTTGTTGCATCTGATTCTATATTGGAACACTCTTCACCTATGTTCTTTAGCTTTTCCAATTCCAAGCTCTTCTATTCGACTTTTCTTTCATGAATTTAGGGTGCAAAAGAAATAAACTGAATAACGTGTTAGAACGACTGTCACTGCATAAAGCAGGTCTATCCAAAGTCGACACGTGCGCAGCTCGCGGTTCTCCCACTCTGTAAAAGCGTATCGATTACAGTATGTGATCCTACAGTCAGTGATCCTCCTTTTCCTCTGAACTACGTTGTAGCGCGTAAAGATTAAGGCGTAAAGATTCGAATAACAAGTACTACTTTAGTTATTAAACAACTGTAACTTATCAAGTGTATTTTATTTTATTTTATAACCGTCGTTGAACAGCCGACCCAATTTTGGGTTTACGACTACTAATGTTCGACTACGTAGCCTTGTAATTTTGAACCAATCCAAAAGACAAGGAAATTCCTGGATCATCACTCCCAGTGGTTTGATTTGTTATGGGAACATGGAGGACTTTGAGACCCGACAGATTTAACGTGAATCAGTACTTAGAGAGTCTTCGGCCGGCGAGGATCGAAGCCACGACCCGGGTTGGACTTCCAGGAGTCGTGGGTTCGACAAACCAGCCAGGATACCCCGGTCCAACTTATCAAGTATATGCCCAAATCGACAATTTATTATGAGCTTGTACGTTATCATGTGACGGGAATCAAAAAATGTATAAACTGTTATTCCAATCCAGAGCTGAACTGGTCATATAAGAAATTTACTCAATTCAATAATAAAAGTCATTTGATTATTTAAAATTTCTCAAGTAGTCAAAATGACTGCTTTTGGGCAATACAGAGGTATTACACATATATTTTTACCAGAAGTGAAGGAGGGGGAGGCAACTACAATGATTAATAAACGCATTTATATGTTGTACAAAAAATCACAAAATTCTAAGAAGCTGCATCATTATATGCATAATTGTTTTTCTAATTGAAATTGAAAAGCAGTCAAAATGACTTCCTTAGGGAATCTAGTGTTAATAAAGAATTAAATTTTGTTATACAGGGTGATAATAAAAAAACTTTATCAACATAGGACCCTCTTGAGAGCATACTGTTTAAGTGAACGGAATAAAATGTTATATTATACTATATACCACTACGTGGTCATCCACAACACTGAAAGCAATATAACAACACAATTAATACAGCAAAAATAATTTCAATATGTTTTTATCGTTATTATATGTCTTTTTCAGAGCCTTTACGTTATTAGATTAAGAAAAATACTTTTTTAGTAGTTCATCCCATCATAATAAAGATTAGATAACTGTAGTCAAAATTATTTGGCATGATGCTGTTCCTGAAGGTCAACTTATAATAGTCAAAAATTAACACAATCACGTGATTTTTTCCGGTACTTATCCCTTTAGAGGGATCGTGAAAAACCTCTTATCACAATATCTTTATAAAAGCTTCCTAGTATTGATGGTGTTTTAATAGGTATTAAATATACTAATATAAAACATTGTACCTACATTAGTATCTTTGGTTTCTATTAAAACTGCACCTATTGCCATAATACTAGTAGTGCTTACGGCTAAAATTAATTGAGCATCAATAATAATATGGATAATTTTTTATATGCCTCCTAAACAAATTAGAGCTATTCCTCAATTAATTTCACTTTATAGTATGTACTTAGAGTATGTAGCTGTTTGAGTTAGTTCAGTATATTTTTGTTTTGTTCAATAATATTGTGATTTTTTGTATTTCTTTTAAATGAATTAGTATCATTTCTCCATTAAATTTAAATCCAATAAGTAGACATTTTATTTTTTATTTCACTTTATACATATTACCAAAATTAGTTAAGCCTCATTGAAGTCAATAATACTATAGCGATTTTTATGGTCCCCCCCTAAAAGAATAAGTACTTTTTCTCAGTTAATTTTGATTTTCTAGAACATAGCTATTTTTTTCAATAAATTATTACTTAATAACAAATTTAATAAACAAGATTGGCGTCATTAAGAGAATGGCTATTTTTATGTTTTTCCTAATAACGAATCAAAACTACTTTTCCCTTATTTTCTTTCCAGAGGATCATATGCCGGCAAAGTTATTTTATACATAACTTATTTTTTTCTTATTTTAATTGAATACAAGTGACGTCATCTTAATTAAATCGTGTCATTTGACAATTTAAAATCAGATTCGGCAGACACGCGTGACGTCGCTTGCATGTATTCAATTAAATCTGATTATAATCACGTGGTTAAGCTTAATCACTTCAATTTTTCTCTAGTTGCATTAACCAATTCCGTTGAAATTAAAGTTATTTTAAAAATTCTTTATATAAAATTTCCATTAAAACAGTGAAGAAAATTATTGCTTATGGTTATTATTTTAGTTTCTACATTTTTTTTTCTATACTATTAAAAATAGAAGTTTTTGTGGAAAGAATTTTTTTTCTGTAAAAAAAATTAAAGCTGTTCGACATTCTTAAAAAATTTATTCCATTCACTAGCCTTCTGTAAAGGAAAAAATAAAGTTTATCTTTCGATTTAACATTTCTTTCGAATGTTTACTTAGAAATAAAGGGGAAAAAGTTATATGTTACGAAAGAATATCTTTTAAAATGTCGCTTTTTTTTGCCAAGTGCTATAACATTTTTATCTTAAAAATCCAGACAAATCAATGAATTAGGATTGAAACAAGGATTCTAATTACTTACGAATATCAAATTTACCCTCCCATTTAAAATATTTGACTTTGCCTATTAATTAAATGTCTCTTTTGTATGGAAATGTGACAAAAAGTATAACTTCAGTTTTATTTTATTCTAACTTTTTTAACTGTGTTTAATTACTTTAGTTTAATGAAAATTATTGACATTTTATAAGAAATTTGTGGTGGGACTTATCCTCATGGTTTAGATTAGCTCTAAACCATGTCCTTGAAATTGCAAAAATGTTTCTTTACCTTTGAGACAACCATTGTTGTTTTTAAAAATTGACCCTCCGCAGTCCTGTTGAGGCAGTCCAGGATGCTGTGATATTGCAGCAATGAAAAAATTAGTCACAAGGCAAGCTTGAGTTATTGGGCGGGTTGCAGATGCCGGATAATGAATGACATGGGGGCTAGCTGCTAATAAGAATCGTTTGAGGACGAATCGTTTAATGACTCGGTGACTTCCATTTGCTAATGAGCCCCCGTGTCATGGTGGGTTAACACCACCATAAAAGAACTTGCTTCTTCCATCATGAAGAATGAATTCACTCCTTGGAACTAAGTTGGACTGTCGGTCTGCTTTTGCGCTCCATTTTGTTCTTTGACAGACGCTTTTTACCTATTTTCATGAAGATGTGCATTTTTCTTTCTAGTTTTGACATGAAATTACAGAGGCTATTTAGCTTTGATCCCCAAAACTTTGCGAAAAGATATTTTTTCGCAAAATAAATTAAAAGTATCTAATAGTTTTACTTAAAAAACACTTCTTGAACATTTCAGCAAAATCAAGATATACCCCTGCCTTACACTTAGAAAAACTGACTCCCCAATTTAAACACTTTTCATTTTTTAAATTATTTCAAAATTTTGAATAATGCATAATTTAGCAGAAACTTATGATTACGGAAGACTTAATGTGTAACAAAAATAAAATCTCATTGAGTAATCAAAGCATAACTAAATTAGAACAAACAATCATCGTAGCATTATATAAGAACAGTGTTCTTCAAAATTCAACTTGAAATATTATTACTCAAATTCTAGCACTATAAAGAATATCGATTGATTATTAAGTTATCAAATAATTCATCCGTTCACTGTTGTGAATATATTATAGTTCCTTAACAAATGAGAACATGTATTCTAACATTTTTCCATAGTATAATTGTATCTAATATAATTTTTCTGATATTTTATTCCTTTGATATTTTATTTTTCTATAAATTGTGATATGTCTGAAGCATTTGAAAACTTAACTTGCTTAAAAATGAAGTACTTGTTGGTTGTAAACATTTTATAATTGGAAAACCAATAGTTAAAATGGAGATATAAGGATATGGAATTCTTTTTTCCGAAAGAAAGTACTTTATTTAAAATGTATTGGTATTATCTTCCTAAAATAGTTACAGTTTCTCAAAGAAGTAAAATGCTAGATTTGCAGATAGGTTTACAAGCATGTATAAAACGATTTTGCGTATAAATTTTCCGTTTTATTTACCTTCAAAATACTGACTTCAAAGAATATTTTAAATAATATGCAATATTACATAATTATCGCTGAAAAATTTTTATTTTTAACTAGAGAAATTTATTCTAGTCATAGCAGAATGTATATTTTCGTCTTTAAATCACATATACTAAACTAAATAAATAAAGAGAATTTTCTCGCCACGTCACATAATCTAATTTCTCTTATGTGCCACTTTAAACTCTCTATACTATTTCTCTATCCATTGGCATTACTATAGTTATTATTCAACTTGTTAGATTAGGTTAAATATATTAAATAAATTAATTCAATAAAAATTAACTATCAACACAGTTTAATAATAATAAAACATAAAAGAAATTATATTAAGTTACAAGTAGAAAGACGAATAGGATTAGCGACAGCAGCATTTCAAAAATGGTGTAAGTTCATCAGTCAGCAAGATGGAATGAATGTTAGACAATTGACCTGTTGCCATTTCTTGAAACTAAGGTTTTAACACAGAGATGTTGCCATCTTATAGAAAAGTCATTTCCTTGAGGGGAAAGTTTTGTACTGCCACCTGGCGAGCAAAGTTCATCGCCATCTGGTGAGAAGATGATTCACGACAGGTTGTCTTAAGTAATAATTTAAGTTGTGTTAAAAAATTAGTTATACGTTTATTTATATTCACCTTATTCTCGACCATGTTTCATGTTCTCCATGGTAGGACGTAGTATTTGCAGAGGTTGTTTTAACTTCCGGTATGGTATAAGATTCAGGTAAAAGAATTTCTGCTGTTGTAAACCAAATTGCGTAAATCTGCATCTTAAATGATCATGTATTTGCATATCAATTCAGGATAATTTCTCAAAGTACCTTTTTTTACATCTTTATATGATATTTTAAAATTTCACAAAAAACATGGCACAAAAAATAAATCAAGAAAAACTAAGTAATCAGAGTATATACAAACAAATCCGGAGCGTCTAAAAAAGAAATAGTCTATTTAATGCTATGACGTCAGAAGAGGACCTCAAGACTTCCGGTAGCTTTTGTTTTGTTTTTTAGGATAGATGGTGAATAGAATAATTTAGTATTTATGTTACCGGCAAAGTTTGAAATCCGGCATTGTATATAATGCCTAAAACTAGTCGGTAATGTCTGAAACGATTTATATTTCACACATTTCCTAGGCATTCTACAGAATGCCAAATGAGAAACCGGCAAGTATAAAATACGTCTCTGATTCGTTTCGAATATCACTTGGCAAGGCTCGTGACTTATAACGCGTGGCTCGTGACTTTTAACTTGACAAGACTCGTGACTTTTGACTAATAACAAAATTATTTTTTTACTGTGCTAGATGGAAATGGAGGAGTAAGCTGTAGTATTAGAGACGGAGTCATGGTCTATAGACATGAAACACCGATTCGACAATGAACTGTGCAAAATGGGAGTTAACGCTGCAAAAACTAGTGTTTTCTTAACCGAAACTACTTACCAGAAGTTAATAAATGATGTACAAAAATCCAAAATACTACTAAGAAGGAACCCAGGGACATTGGTTGCTGAATCACTACGATGTGATGATTGTGAAAAACAAAAGTAAACTCATTTATCCTGTTAAAGAAGGCGCCAATTCTATACAGTATTACGTCACGGACAATGAGTTATTTCACGTACTTCATGAAGCTCATTTGTCTATTGGACACGGAGGACGTGATAGAATGTTGAAAGAATTTTCAATCAAATACAAAAACATTACACGTCATGATATTGAACTGTACATCCACCTTTGTGAACCTTTCCAGAAAAAAACAGAAAGGTATTAAAAAGGGCATTGTTGTGAAACCTATGGTTTCTTCTGAATTTTATTATATGGTTTAGTCTGAGTCAGATAGAGAATACAAATTTATTATGGTGTACCACGATCATCTCACAAAATTTGTGATTCTCAAATCTCTAACGTCAAAAAGAACTGAAGAAGTAGCCTACAATCTAGTGGACATACTCACGTTGCTTGGAGTGCCATCTATATGACAGTTTGACAATGGTAGGGAATTTGCCAATAGCGTGGTGACGAGCTTGAAGGAGTTTTGGTCAGCACTGAAGGTCCTCCATGGGAAGCCTCGCCATTCACAAAGCCAGGGTAGTGTCGAAAGAGCTAATCAAGATATCGAAAATATGCTTTGTACTTGGATGCAAGATAATAAATCTGACCGCTGGAGTGAAAGACTGCGTTTCGTGTAATTTATGAAAAATAGAGCTTATCATTCTGGGATCAAAAGAACACCATACGAAGCTCTTTTTGGCTGCAAACCTAAATTAGGGGCTTACAACGTCTTTTCAACCCGAGGATGTTTTAAAAGACATAAA